CAACAACCAAGAATGGACAGAAATTCAGAACCTCTTTTTCATTTTGTAAACATCACACAGCCTCCTGGGTCTTTCTTTGACGGCAGGGAGATGTGGAGCCTTAGCAAAGATGTAATGAGAGCCCCCCATCCACCCCCACCAGGCCTGGCAGTGTGGGGGCTGGGCGTCTTCCTAAATCTGTTTCTTTACATCAGTTATCTGTGACACTCCTTTCACAATCCAGTTTATGATCTGAAATTCATACCCATCATACCACACCCTCTGGGGGTGGGAGGCAGGGAGTGTGGTTTTTAAGTGCTGATTAAGTGGGGCATCCCAAAGATGTCAGGGGAACAAAATCAAATCTTATCAACAGATATTTGATCCCATAAGACAAGAAGACTTCTGTCTTCCAGCACCCACAACCAAGTGCTGATCTTAGCACTGGCATAGCACCTTCTGTCACTGGCAGCTGCCTTGGTTCTCTGTAGCCCCTATATGCCATTCATGGTTATATATTCCACCAAGTATATCCCTCTCTATAATTAACAACCTTCTGCAGTGGTTAAAGGATGAGGAAAAAGCTCTCTTAAGGAGTTGATCTTAATTCATCCCAAGTCTCCTACAGGAAGACACATGCTTCTGTGCCAAAAGTAGACATGACATGAGGGGAATTTACACACGGCCTTTATGGGGCAATTTACTGGCAAATTTGGGTGTATATTATTGTAAACTGCTGCATATCATGTGATTACAGGATTAAGAAAGGAGTGAATTGCTAATCTTGTCAGTCCAACTGTTTTCTTCCATGATAACATTTGTGTTATTACACTTTGGGTGATGAAAGATTGTAATTGGCTGTTGACACTGATTGAAGGAAGGAGACGTGGCTTTTTTTTTTCTCCTTAAAGAGAATTAGCTTGGTGAGGGAGGTAACACAATTCAAATCTGCAGCTCTCACAGCTGCAAAACAGAAGTGAACTGTCAAAGAACGTTTTCATCTTTTTCTTCCCCACCTGTTTTTCTCCTTTTGATGACATCTTTTCCTAGCTTTAACACATTTAAAATGGGCCCACCGAAGAAAGAGGGTGGAAGTGGGAGGGGTGGGGAGCTTTCAAAAGAAGTGTAGCTTTCAGGATTTACACCAGAACACTGCAAATGTGTATGTTTCATTTGCATGTGTTAAGTGAGGTTTGAGGGAGATGCCAGAGACAAGTTAAGTGAGGCCAACTCTATGTCACTCAAGTTGGTCTAAACCAGTAACAGACACCTGAGAATGGGCTGCTTGTGTGGCAGCTAGAAAAAAAAGCATCCAGGTAAGCTGACACCTTCTGGTTTGCCTGGTTCGGAGTCAGTGTATTGGAAAATCGGGCGGAACGTGCTGTCCTGCTGTCCTGCAAGATGCAGTGTCTGCCTGACCAGCAACACACACAGTCCCACAGTCCCTTTGCACCCAGAGGAAACATGCGTCCAGGAATGAGGAGGTAGAGGTGAGGTGGACTCACACCATTACCCCTTAACAAACTACCTGCAAAATTTTTGTTTCTTGTCCCCACAATTTGAAGAGTGCTGCTGGTGGAGAAGTTTTAGATGCCCAGGGAGGAATGCTTTCACTAAGGAATGCAGCAAAGGCTCACTTGAGGAGGAAGTTGACACTACCACTGAGTCACTTTTTATTTCTTTTGTCACTGCAGCAATAGGCAAGGAAGAAGATTACAGTCCTAGCTGGGGGGAACTGCCCCTGAGGATGATGGGAGCAGGTCCTGCTACCCGACCAGTGAGGAATGTTTCTAACTCCAGGCAGCCCTGGGAACCTTCCTTACTAGTTACATGTCCAGAGGCACAAGTTAGAAGACACCACCACAGAGCTGGCGGAACAGGAGCTGACTCTTCAGCCGTGAAGGTTTGGGTCATTCCACAAGGTAAAGACCCTTGACCGGCAGAGTTGCTGGCAGAAGGTAAAGAACAAGCATAAGTAGTGGAATAAGTTCTAAGTACCAACTATGGCCTCATAAAGAATTGCTAAAATGGGGACTGTAACAAGTCTACCTATTTTGTCCTTTGCATTGGTATGAATGTATTAGTGTATTGATATTGCAGCTTAATTTTTAATTATCAGCATCAAATTATCCTCCCTCTGCCACCTTTTTATTTTATCTAAGACATGGTGGTTAATTTTTGGCTTTAGGATATAGGATATTGAAGGGAAATTGTGCCTGAACAAGAGCTGGATATGGTGCCTTACGGAGAAAAGATAGAGCATGTTCATTGTATGAGGGATGTCATACGAGGCAGAAGCATGCTGTTTTACTCTTGTCTGAAAGTTAAATATTGTTTAATAGCAGCCATGTGGCAGACTGTGCCAGGCTGCCTATCGGGAAGTCAGCCGTTTCCCCTTCCAATGCCAATTTCTCCCTGTGTCAGAGGGTTTGAGGATCTTGGAATGTATATTCCCTGAATCATCGCAGGCAGTGTTCTGGGATAGATTCCTGACATGTTCTTGTGTGATGCGGAAGCAAGACAGAGGCCGTGTCATCGCCCCTCAGATACACGGGCTTCTGCAGATGTGCCTTTCTGACAGCTTCCACTTGCTTTCCTGGGTGACTTCCTTGAGTGGCTGAACGAGCCCCAGTCTGCCTACCACCTGTGAAAAATGAACTATTGTGTTAAGTTACCGTTGGGTTTTATTGCATGCAGTTAAATCTTATCCTGATATAATTTATATTAAAGTGATGAGTTTTCATTTTCTTACAAAATTACACATGCTAACACATCTGCAGAGACAAATGTTTTCTAGAACTAAAATCTGAGCAATACTCCACTGATTCTCATTTGAAAGGAGGCTATTAGGCAATCCATCGGATAATGGATAATGCATTAAACTCCATTTGGGCCAAAGATTCTGAATCACTGAAAATGAAAACTCCAGTAATGATCTTTGTATGATGGTTGAAGGTTTCTTATCAAAGTATGATTCAGGGGTGGCATTTATCCAGGTAGATTACATCATTTAAGAGCTTTCTTAGAACTTGGAGAAACTAAATGCATACACTAAACATTCTGTGAATTACAGCTACTTAGGCAAATTGTTGATAAAGGCCTTGTGATTTAATTACCTAAGTTTCCACACTGTGTATTTGATGTTGTTGATTAACCTGTAAGTCATGTGCTTCAGATACCAGAACACATTCAGATAGGAACATTTAAGAACCAGAATTGTTTGAGTCCTGTTTACTAACTTCCTGGTTTTTATTTTCTGACTGCTTGTACTAGAGCACAGATGATAAACTCTCAGAGGAAAGAGAGTAAGGTATGAATTCAAAGACACATTGTTAACATAATGGTTAAAAAACATATTTGAGACTGTTGACAGCCCACAGAGATCTACACCAGAGACATGGGGCAAGGAAGATCTTGCAGTCTTTTACTGGAACTTTAGAGGTTGCATGGTGCCATGGTTAAGTGTAGATTCTGGAATTAGTGTTTAATGGGCTCAAATCCTGGCTCCGACCCGTATGCGTAACTAAGGAAAGTTAGCTCCTCTGTGCCCCAGTTTCCTTATCTGTGTAACTACGAGAATTTTCTAACTTCAGTGATTGGTGAAGAGTATTAAGTCAAGCAAAGTGCCTCGCATATGGCAACTCTGTGTTTACTGTTACTAAGTCACTCCATTTAATTGCTGGCGTGACAGCCATTATTGTGACAAACTTAAAAATTCTAGGAAATTGATACAGATGTGTGGCCTTCATGAAGAGAATGTGCTCATGCAGTAAACTTACTTGAAGCTATTATAGGAAATAATAAACTTCCAGTCATCAGCAGCAGCTCCCTTAGCTGCGAACGCATCTGTCACCACGGAGTCACATGCAATAATGAAGCCAGATGCTAAACTCCTGAAGTGCTGATTATGTCACAATCAGACATGAACGTGACTTAATTCTAATGATGGTATGATTTTATTAAGTTAATCTGCCGATAAAGAACATCACTGAAAAGCTTAAACTATTAACAAATACTTGCATAGCCAGATGTGCTTTCTTCTTTTAAAGAGAAGTTTTGACATGAATACACATTAAATTCATTAATCTATGCTCATGTCTCCTAGTTGCTGGAATGCTGAATGTAAAACGGGGACAAAGGAAGTGGATCTTGGCTGCCGTGCACTGGTGCGCTCAGGCCAGTGTTAATGAGGGACATCTCGGGCCTAACACCGGCATAATCCACAATGAAGTTTTGCTGCTGGCAAGGGAGTCAGAAGTGCTGCCCTGCAGAAGATGCCCCGCTGGTGAGGTTACACAGTTTGCTGAGGGGTTAATTAAACCATGATTCAGTCTCCCAAAGGGCTCTCTACTTGTTTCAGGCTTGCGGTTCATAACATTTTAGTTTGCCACCCTCTGTTGCCTACATGATTTGAGGGTTAAAGGGGCTTGAGACCAACCATTCCAGCATGCAATTACAGGCTCAGGACGGTTTAAGAACATCAAGCCCCATCCTTCCAATAAAGTTGTGCTGTGATTTTTAAAGAGATGGATTTTAATTATGCTTTACTTAGTGATTTTAATTATGCTTTCCTTTTAGTGTTCTGCACCTAGGGGCTACTGAGTAACATGATCAAAAATGGACTGGGTGTGGTAAACTGCTTTGAAAGTTGCTTTCACATTAAGATTTACTTAAAAGCAACAGATTGAAGATAGAGCTGGGCATTACATGGCAGCATTACAAAACTCAATGTGTTTCTATTAAGGTGAAGAGGTTTTAAGAGATATGCTACAGAAATGTAAACTATCATGAACCTCTAAAACCTCCAAAAGTAGGCTGATTCTCTTTACATTTTTGAAGCAGAAACAGACCTGTAGCCTGTGAAGTGGTTTATGTTTGATCCACATGCTATGCATTAAAAAGACAGGAGGCTTACGATCATCTGTAGTAAAACGTACCACCACCAATATGCAAGGCAAAATTGGAGAGCTTTTGAAACCACACACAAGCACTTGAAAGGTAGTGGTGATTGGAAACACCTGCAAATTTATCACTTTTATTAAGAAACAATGACGACTGTACAATTCAGGATAAAAACCAGGTGTCTGATGAGTTGTTTCAGAAAGTAGAAAATTGCTCTTTCTAAGTAATCATGGTAAAAGACTTCTTCAGCTTGTTTGGCAAAACATTTTATTCACAAAATCTCCATGTACTCCTTAACTCTATGCTCAAATAACTCACAAGGCTGGAAGCCAATGTTTAATATTTACAGAGCTCAACATCTGAATGCTCACTAATGCCTATTAGCTGTTCTACATACTCTACTGCTATCTCTGCCCCATCTTTGTTCTTAAAACTCAATACTGAATGACCAGCTCCCAGGCTGGGAAAACCATAACCCTACCATTCCTCCCCACACCCCCACTCCACATAATTTGTTAGGAAATTCTACTTAAAATATCATCCTCTTCTTTGGAGGAAGATGCCATTCTCTGGAACAGAAACAACTTGCACAGAAATGACTGTGATATAGTAATATACACAGCCATTTGTATCGCCCTGGGGATCACCACGCATCCTGGGTTCATAGGCGTCATCCTTATATCTCACAAGATATATATAATCCAATGTGCCAGGGAATTATAAAGCTTTTTTTCTTAAAAAAAACATGAGTTTTATTTCTTCTAAATGTAGACTAAGCTTCCCCACCCCACCTACCTGTGGTACCCTTGCAGCTTACCTTACCTGACTAAAATTGAGGCAGTTTGCCAGGATGATTAATGATTTAAGTAGGTAAAGCACAGGCAGAGGTCTCAGTATGATACTGAGAACAGACAAATAGACAATGAGCTCCAGGCATCAGCCAATACAAACCAGCTATGGAAATGTAAGGTTCACCCCAAATAACCTACTTCAAAAACTTTTAGAAATCCTTAATGCTACTCTGATAGGCATCTCCTTGCACTGTACATCTCATGTGCAAGGTGCTCAAGATGTAATGCTCTTCCTCCGACCACGAGGCAGGAAGACAGCAAAAAGCAGCATGCCGGGAGCAATCCCTGGTGTGTGCCCTTTATTTCTTCTCTGGCTTCGAATCTTAGGAAGGTTTCCTCTTATTTGCTTTCTTGCCAACCAGCTAAAGAAGAGTAGGAACACAGGTATCAGGAGCCATCAGAAGTTTTCTCAGAAACCGTGCCGGGACTGGCAAACAGAACTAAGGCATGACCCCTGGTTCCTCCCTTCTTTGCAAAGTCTACTGGCAGGAAGCTGCTGGGAGGAGACAATACTACACAGTCGGCCACCCCAGCTCGGGGTGTACTGAACATATCCCAGTGCAATGACTAGTTCTTTCATTTACAAACACTGTTTTTACTCATTCTCAAATGCCAGGACAACCAGTAATAATAACGAGTGTATCTTATCTACTTTGACACTTCTTTCAACCTAAGAGTGGATGACCGCAGGTAAGAGCATTCCCATTTCCCAGGATAAAGCTACTGAGACCCAAATACTTTACCTAATAAGGGCAGAATTACTCATAACTCCACGCCCACAAGAAACAAATGACTGCAAGGGTAGGATCTTGACTGCACGCTTCTGTGATGTGCTCTCAGTGTGCACTGCGTACCTGCTCCCGGTCTTTGCCACATTCTCTAATATGCCAGCTGGTCCACTGATGAGCATGTCCACCAGCCCGAGCTAATGCACTGGTTTAGAATCATTCCTGACCTAATGTTTTCTGCCTCCCCTCTCCACAGGCATTTGACAGTGTTGAGTGAAGTCAGCTAAAGGTAGGACAAAAAGAGCAAAATAGGAAAACTATTATTTTCCAAATATAGAAAAGAACTGTGGTAAAGATTCTCAGCCACACTTTTGAGCCATGACAGAATATATGAACATTTTTACATTAACCCTTCATGTCCATACTCATCTACATATATTCACATACTCTGCCAGGTAGACACCCCACTCTGTATCAGTGCTTTAATAAAGTGTAACAAAATACATGCTATGCGGATATAAGTACCCTGTAAAAATCCACAAAAACACTGAGAGGCCCCAAAGAATACAGGCATAAACGGACACAAGATTATAGATAGGTGTTGCTCAGGAGAAAGCTATACAAATGAACAGAGGCTGCAGTGAGGACACAGGATGGGGGGGGTTAGGAATTAAAAGAAAAACAGGGCAGACAGGAAGAAAGGTGCTCAGGAAATGAACCCTAGATGTCAGACTCCTTTAGAAATGTCAGGTAATCTTTCTGGAAGAATCGGTCTGTGTGGGTGGCATGCATCCATTTGGCTTTCATGTTTTCACTCATAGCACTGAAATAACTCAAGTACTGGAGTATTTCATTCTGGATAAAAGAGCAGAAAGAAGGAAAAAAACTCTTTGGACTGTGTCAGTACATTAAAACCTGATAGAAGCCTACCTAGTGCATTAATGGCTGTTTAGTTGGATGAAAAAGAAAATAAAGGATCAAAAATTAATTACTAATACAAAAAGAAAAAGAGAGCTTATGATGCGACAACAGAATTGTGGTAAAGGGTATGCAGACATATAATTCAAACAGCCACCATTTCCTCCCGTTACTTTATTTAGGACCCCAGTCTAGCTGTTAAGTGGGCACATAGGTATGCCCATACATGGCTCATTTGCTGGTTAGTGTCAACTGTTATTTGATCTTTGCTCTAAGGGTAGAGTTTGGGATGTCTTAAACAACAATTTCTTTTGTAAACAAACCATATCCTCTATCTCTGGGGCACAAAGTTACATGATCTTGATCCAGAGAAAGAGTATCTATTTAATAAACATTTCTCCTCTAGTTACATATGAATCTGATTCTCTAAAAAATGGTTTATTTGCCCCTTTAATAAAGGTTGAAATAAATTTCAACCTGGATTGAAAAGTCAGTTGTGCAAGGGGAAAAAATGGTTAAAAAAAAAAAAGCTTGTTAAAAAAATCAACTAGTATCTGTTAGACATACTTCCTTACATTCAACCACTAGAAAGAAAAATCAACCCACAGGGCATTTCAGACATTCTGTTCTTACATGTGTTTGTTTCAATGTATGAGTGCCCTTATCTGTCCATACAGAACCTCTTGTTAATAAGACCAGCAGAGCATTCAGACTGAGAGGGACACACATTCTCTAAAACCTAACAGACCCAGTGAAGAGCTGTCTGTGTACATCAACAGTTCAGTCAGCATATATTATAATATTTGCCACCAATAAAAAGGGTGATACTATGTGGTGGAAGGTTCTGTCCTGTTCAGAGTTATCTTGGTAAGACTCCAGATACACAGCTAACAGAGTCTAAGGACAGGTTCCTCAATAAAGTGATTTAAAAAAGCAGCTTTTGTTGTTTTTAAAAGGATATTCAACCCATGGTATTTATAGCACCATCAGTCTGAGGAACTCCACATTTTTCAAAGAAAGTACCATCTGATTCCATGAATGGGTTCACACCTAATTCAGCATCTTTTAGACTAAACCATTAGTGGCACTTGAAAGTGGTCAGTGTCCAAAACAACAAATCAGTCTGGGAACCTTGTGGCTCAGGTGGAGAAACAGTATCCACATTTTGTGTAACAAAAAGCCAAGACAGCTTAAGCGACTTCCCTGAAGCAACCCAGCGGTTCTAGAGACACTGACCTCAGACCCCACCAGGGAACAGCTCCCGGCTGTGGAGCAGACATACCGCACCTCAGTGTGAGACCTGGAGACCCACACCTCAACTTAAGAACACAATCTCTGCCCCCACCCCCTTTTTTTTTGTCTTTGTGCAAAAGCCTTCATCTCTGTGCAAAAGGAGAAGTGGCCGGTCAGCTTAAATGCCTACTGAAGAACAAGGAAATGAAGAACACTGACTTTCCTGCTAGTCTCGCCTCCAAAATTACCATATACAAACTACACAAAAGCACAAACACCAAAACATGGTCCACTGACGTTATGCCTCTTTCTCAAAATTAATCTCATCAGAGGAACACTGATACCATAGGCAGGAAAAGAAAGCCTTTTCATTTTAGTTGCGATTTGACCTACTTCATACACACCTACTATATATGTATTAGCGCACTCACTGGCATGCTATCAGAGTTGACAGGCAGAGCTGCATCTCTCTCCTCCACTTCACCTACCTGCTAGGAGCCAGCTGGGCATCACACCTCTGCTCTAGGCTACTAGGCAGGTGGACAGAGGGAAAACGTCCCTTTCCAAGTTCGGATACAACCTTCCTTTCTCATTAACATAGAGAGAGGCTGCAAGTTTGTTCTAAGCACAGAAATCAAAAGATGTGAACGCACATGACTTCTGCTAGGAAAAAAGCAAAATGTGGGAAAGAAGCCCCACCGGTCCTACTCGTGTCACCAGGGCCCAGCTCACAGGGACAACTACTCTTTCCCCAACACTGGGGAAAGTCCAGCCCCAGCAGCACCAGTGTCTCAGTTCACTGGGCCACTCAGTTGTTCCTGATGCTGCTGCTGAGGGGTGGAAGGGGGCAGATAGGCCCGAGGCCCCAGGACCACACGCAGTAAGTAAAGGCCCCAGTGACCTTTACGCAGAGTCAACAGAACAGCAACAAAAGGGATACACTTGCCCAAGACCACGGATATAAAACTAGTAGCTCTGGGGACTCAGCATTCAAGAAAGTGCCGTACTGAATATTTTGGTAAACAGAACAAATAACAAGTGAACGGGCTGTTCCGTAGCAGAGAGCTATTCTCTTTCTATTTCAGGGTTGAGGGGTTGCTATTCGGAGTCCATAAATGTCAGTAGTATAGCCACGAGAAATCGGAGGGGCCCCTCCTGAGGATTCTCTGGTGCTTGGGGGTAATTCAGCATTAACAAAGGTGAGGTGGGGCCCAGACCCTGGCCCTCCCTACGGCGGGCAGACCTCAGTTCTTCTTGTCTTCCTTCTGAGGCTGGCCTTTTGTGGTCCCTAGGTTAGTCCACACCTCTGTGTACATCAGAGTCCCAACGAAGACACACAAGGTGCCCAGCCAGTGCCACAGAGTGAAAGGGTTCTGGAAGTACAGGATGGAAAAGATGAGGCTCACAAACTTGCGGAGAGTCACAACAAGTGTGACGGTGAGGGAGGCGCATTCTGTGGTGAGGATGAAGACGCCTCGGATGCACACATACCTGAGGGGGTGGGGTTAAGGTGGTTTTCTGTAGCCTACCGGAGAGATCAGCAGGGAGAAACTTCTGCTCTGGCTCTTGGCTTAGATGTTCATTTGCTAAGAACCAGAAAACATGGGGATCGGCTATGGCTGCTCTTAGGTCATCCCTGGTAGAATATCCTGCAGAATTCCTGCCATTCCATTTGTGGATCTTAACTTGAAACTGCTTGAAAACCTCCAATTACTCTTATTCTGGATTCTTCCCAGTTTACGGTAGTCACCACACCCACCTGTATTTGATCTGATCCACGGCCCTACCCCCTCCTCTGTAAGTGAGGAGGCTTCAGAGGAATGAGGTCCATCTTTGCTTTACTGTTTCAAAGATACAACAGTTTTTATAGTGGACTTAATTTAAGGTTGTTCAAAAGAACCATTTTGAACCTAAGAAAATTAGGTTTAATTAATTTGAAATTTCTTGTAGAATTTTGTAACAGCTTGAAAAATATCCTGGGATACTGGAAAACTCCAGGTAGAAATTACAGAGCATTCATGTCATACACTAATTGCCAATTATCCACTGTTTTCTAGACCTCCACCCAGAACACTTCCTGAATGGTGCCCTGTGACTTACAGACCCACACACCACTAGCATCTTTTTGGGGCGCTCGCTGGATGGGCCTTTTTGCCTCCTGCACAATAGATCAAGGCAAAAAAAGAACTCATGTTAGTGTACTGTTGGAAGAATAAACATTCCGGTGCCAAAACGAGACAGAGGAGAGCAAAGGATACTGGGTGATGACATTCATGAGGAGGTAGAACCACATGATGGGCACTGTCACACCAATGACTGGCACTTGATATAATTCTGCAAAGAGTAAGAGGGGAGAAAGTCATGGCACATTTGATAGCTTAAGTTTTCATCTTTTCAAACAAAATAATACAGACTGAACATAACAGGTAGCAATATTATTTTCCTTGCATATAGATCCAGACCATATACCACTTTATTTGCCTTGATTCTAGGGTGCATCAGCCTTAAAAGTCATTACATTGGTTTCTTAAAACAAATTATAGTTTGAAAATAAACTCTTTATCATTCATGGGAACAGGACCTCACTTTACAAAGAAAGACTGTGAAGCACAGAGAAGTTCAAAATGATATGATCTCAACTGACAATCAGCCCAGGAAGAAAGACAACTACAACTGAATGCCATTTGGAAATATGTTCAGTCCTGCTAGAATCAAACAAGGCTGTATCATTTTATATCTATTACATTCGCAATTAAAAATTTATAAATAATATCCTAATCTGGCAAGGTGGTAGTGAAACTGGCAACATTAAAAAAAAATCAATTTCATAATACTTAAAGGGTCATAAAAGTATTGATACCCAATCTTAGGAATTAATCCTAGTTGACTCAAAAGAAGAACAAAGTTCTGCATTCACTGCCATACTAATTATAATAAAGAAAAACTCAGAATCAAAGGGTCTTTAATTAGATAAGGCATTATTCATTTCATAAATCATAAAGACTATGTATAGTCACACAGAAGATGCAGAATTAAAGTGATAAAGCAAGCATAAAATTATATCAGTACAAGTATTACAACTAGTAAGAATAAATGTAAACAGTGTCTAGAAGGAAACTGGTAAAATGAAATTAGTTGATGTGTACAGCAGTGGAACTCTAAATTTCCCTCCGTTAAATACAATCTTATGCTAATTTTATATAATGAACCTTGCACAGTAAATATAAAACATCCAAGATCAAAGAGAGTAAGAAATAGTAATCCTTGAAGGGTCATTTTTTTAATATTGCTAAATTGTTTTGGGGGTTGAATTACACCACATAACAGGAAATTCTAGCAAAGCGATCTTGAGATCTGCTTAGTAAATTAACATTAATTTTCTTTTGCAAATATAAAAAGCCATAGACATAAAGATAATTTGTTATAACTGTATGTCTGGACTAATGGGAAATCCCAATAATCTGGTATTCTATTGTCTTTGAAACACTTAGCAAGTATTGAAATGAAAAGAACATTAACAAATGTTACTACTGTTTAGTAACTTCAGAGATGCATTGTATCAACCTGCTGGGGAAAGAGACAATCACAGTGTGACTTAAAATACTTCAATGGATCTTCAGTACTTCTGGAAAATTCAAGGACAACACAGCCATCTGAGGTATTTAACTCAAGCAAGAGGGGAAAAAAATGCATACTTGAGATGATTTTGAAGAAGTTGAAGGCAGATTCTTAAAAAAAATTTATGTAAGTACCCGTCCCCACAACTTTTAGAAAATCATTCTAATAACTAAATTGGAATCAATCCCAGAAACCTTAAAAACCAGTGCATCAAAAATTAGCTGTATATGTCAACTGTATCTCAAAAAAAGAGAGAAATGATTGTTAAAAACTTTCTTACACACTACCTTCATCACATGTTTTTTTTGTGGGCAAATGGGAGAGGAACATTGCACGCTCAAAGTAGTGTCAGCTCCTGTTCAGACAGCAGGCAAATGCTCACTGAACACACTGCCATTCTACAAAATACACTTGCCATTTGGGGTATAATCAACAAAAAGCCTTAATTTAAAAAAATGTGTATTTGTTCCCTGTGTGTTCATTTATCTGTATAACATTCTATGTCTTTTAGCAGATAATCAGATCATGTAAGTGATTTCTTTCAAGGTAACTGGTAATTTATAGCTAATTTATTAAATATCCCGTACTTACATTGTAGACATTTGAACTAATTCTGCTTATTCCTGCCACCTACCTGACCTGTAACTTGGAAAAAAGCCCTGTCATGATCTGTGCCTCTGCTGCTCCCAGGCAGCTAGGTCTAGGCTCGCAAGCAGATCTTCCTCTCACAGCAGGAAAGGATGAACAGCAGCAGAGAGTCAGACACCACCTGAATTCTCATGGTTCCAATCTCTCAGTGTTATTATTATTTGTCTGCATTCATTCCACATTCAAATGCAAACACAAATTCCAAAGCAAAATAGAAAAATCTGAAGATACTCTCTTACTTCTTTGGCAAATAATTGAGAAGTGCCTATAAAAGCTTTTGCTGCTCTATTTGCTGGTGCCATATTCCTGAAGATGGGCTGGGGAGCTTCAAGCAAGGGTTGGTGATTTGGATAAGATCATGAGAACAGCAGTGGTCAAATCGAGTGAAACGGAGTCTTCGCCTTAGAAACTGCGAGGTGATTCTACTGGATAAGCCCAAACTCACCAGACTTACTGAAGAGCAGTGCATGGTCATAAATGTCAGAAGCCAAGAAGATAAAGCCAGGAAGTGGGAGGGCATGCTATGGGAAGAAATATTTCACATAAATTTAAATGCAAACATTACAGGGTAATTAGCTTTCTAATGATTTAAAATTTTGTCTAAGTTGTTTAACAAGCAATTATCTAGAAAGCCAGCTAGTTAGACTCATGATTCTAACTACCTGATGTTATATGGCATGAGATCAACCCTTAAATTATGGTTCTTGTTCTTCAGGCGTCTGATGGGCTTCACACACACAAGAATGCAGTCAGCAGTAAAAGGGAATGAGAAACTTAAATAGTAATTCCACCCAAAGGACTTGCTACGTTTTGCCATTTTTGAAAACAGTTAGTTATAACGGTTTAAAGATAATTAAGAATGTGAAGAAAGCTTTCAGGGAAATTTTTTTTTAGGAAACTAGTGGGAAAAAAGATTGGAGGACAATATAAGGAAAAAGAAATTAAGACAAGAATAAAAAAAAGGTTGAACAGGAAGAGGAAAGAACAGGTAAGCAAAGATTACTATGCTTGACAAAACCCACCATCACAACCACCACAGTAACGAGGACTCACAGTCAGCATCACTAAGCACTTACTCTGCCAGGTACTCTGCTAAAAGAAAGACGTGAACCAAACTGAATGTTTATTTTTAAATTCCCAGTCACTTACTCTAGCTTCAGCTGAATGTCTCAAATTGCTTATCTGCAACCTTAGTACAAAAAGTTGAGGGAGAAGGTGTCCCTGAAGTTTTTGAACCTGGAGCTGACTGTATCCCCCTGGCTTTGGGGACAGGGTTGGTGGGGCATGAAAGTTAGATGACGTGGCTCTAGATCAGCAGTTACAAGCAGACAAGTGACGCATATATAATTAGCTAGTGAAACTCTCCATCAAGTGAATACATGCCACCCGGGGGACGTCCTCCTCGCACCCCTTTCTCCCCCAGTTCCCTCAGATGCCTGCCTGCTTGCTTCCCCTTTGCTGATCACAGTCACCTCGTGTAGAGAACTAGCACAGAATGTCCATTCACAGCCCACTAAAGGCCTCTCAGTCTGTGGGGCCCAAAGCAGTTTACCAGATAATAAACTGATCCCTAAGCTACATCAGAAGGATGGAGTATTTCATTTGAAGTAACATATTACAACTCAGTAACTTTTATCTTCCCCAGGTTCAAGGAATTGCTTACATTATAAAACAAAGCCTCCTTGGAATGTTTCCCAAATTGTTTGTATAGGGTCTCTTGGAAAATACCCATCCTTGCTGACATCAAGAGTGCAAAAGTCAGTGCCGCAATACCTAGAGAACAAAACAGCGGGTTCAGGAGATGCCTGGATTTGCTATTTTCAGATATTTTCTTAAAGAACATTTATTGTTTGTTTAAAGTTCTACAAATGTTACAAATTAGTTGTAGAACATGTACAAAATTTTAAAAAGAAATAATCAACCACAATGTTAACCATCCAGTCCTTAACAGTTTGTTACACATCTCTTCATATTCATTTGTGTGTATATTTTATGCTAAGACAGGATCTTAAGGAATATACAATTTTGTATATTCATGATATAAAATTTTTCCTAGATCGTCCTTCAATTCATTCATTAAACTTTTTTCAAAAGCATGATTTAATGGCTGCATATTATTCCACCATGTGGATGCACCATACTTAAATGTCTTACAATATGAGAACAGCTAATTACTTCCAATTATTTCATCATTAATGTCAATGTACATCCTTGTACACAAATCTTTAAACAAAATGTTGATTATTTCCTTAGGATAAACTCTGATAAGTGGAATTACTCGGTTTAAAGGTTGCAGACATTTAAAAAACTCAATACCTAAATTTTCTTCCAGAAAGATTGTGCCAATGTAAACTACAATTTATATGAAAATGGTTGTCTTATT